GATGACAAGATGGGAGGTAGAGAAAAGAGAACCACTCAGAAGGTCAGTTGGTTACCCCAGAGGATGCAATATGACAGAAACAGAGGGACCCTGCCTCAAAAACAAGGCAGCAGAAGAGAACTTAATCATATTTGTCCTCTGACCTCCACATGTGCACTATGAAATGTGTATACAAGCATTGTGCACACACATGCACACATACACATATACCATATACACATGATAATTTACAAGAATGGGATACAAAAGGATAAAACTGGATGATTCTGTCTGTATGTGTGCAAGGTCAGACTTACAGAGACAGAAAGCAGAATGATGGTTGGTGGAGGCTGGGGAAGAAGGAGGTGAAGTTATTATTGGAGTTTCAGTTTGGGGTGATGAAGTGAATGTGGGAGCTAGTTACACACTCTGTGAAAAGCTCTTTATCCCACTAAATTGGAGACACCAAAAAGACAAAAAAAATTATCAAACTGGGGGAAATAAAAAGAAAGAAAAAGAACATGGCTATTGAGGTCTTCTTGCCAATTGATGTACTTGTTATACCCTTTGGTCCAGATGTATCAACACAGTTCTAGCCAAAAATAGCATTCAAGGCAAAGCTTTAATGAGTTGGAAGTAGATTAGAAATAACTGTATCACAATCCCTCTTGCCGTGCTCTTAGGAAAGCAATACTACTTCATCTTTATCAGTAAAATCAAGATCAAGATGAAGCAATGAAGATTTCTGCCAAGTCATCCACTCCAACTGGCTTTTGAAATTTTGCACAGTCTTCTATTTAGATGTTAGGGAGTCTGCCCTCCGGCCATCTTTTAGTTCACCATGACTATGTAGCTTAGCAACTTATACTCCCCATTGTATAACTTATACTCTCACATCTAGGAGGGATGACCTAGGTTCCTTCCTATAGAATATCTGGCTTGACCCACATTCTGAGGAAGAAGAATGCAGAGGACAATATCCTGAAAGAGGGCACTGTAGGAAAATCTCCAAATAGAGGGCAGCAGAGGACATGCCTATCCACTGACCATGGAAATGGATTTGTGATCCACACAGACAAATTTTGAAGACTTTTGTTTGTTGTTTCACCGGGCAGATAATTCTGTTTTAGTTGAAGACCGCAGGTTCAATTGGGTGCCTCAATCTAGGGGTCGTCAGAGTAGAGATAGGGTAAAAGAGAATTGGCAAGATGTCTTGATATCACACATAAAAACACACAAAAATGTTAGGCGATGATGGCACATGCCTTTAACCCCAGCACTAAGGGAAGCAGAGGCAGGTGGATCTCTGTGAGTTCAAGGCCAGCCTCGTTTACAGAGTGAGTTCCAGGACAGTCAGAGATACACAGAGAAACCCTGTCTCGGAAAAAAAAAAAGAAGAAGAAAGAAAGAAAGAAAGAAAAAAGAAAAAACTCACAAGCACACAAATGTATTCAACAAAGTCACCAAAAACCTTCTGATTACTCCACTACTTCTTAATGATAAATAGAAAACTGTATATATTACTGGAGCAAGCAGCTTAGAGATGGAAGCAAATTGAATGGAGGGTCCTTGGGTAGAGCTGTGAAGTCACCGTACAGTTCCTGGTTTTAAAGTCACTCATAAATAAAGAGGCTAAGCATATACCTCCCCCCCACACCAGGCCTTTGTGGATGGAACTGAATTTTAGGGTGTAAAGACTGTCACTGTGAACTAGCTCTCTTTTCTCTTTCTCTGCTAAGGTCATGTGGGCTAGTCTTTCCTCAGCTCACTCTTTAGATCAGATGGAGTGACTCATGGCCAGGCACCTGAAACTTAATTCCATATTTCTAATAACTATTTCAGCATCATATTCATGAGTTGAATCACCAGATAAACTCAGATCAGCTCAAAGACTGGAACCTGCAAGGTCTTCTGAGGAGACTTAATTGTTGCCTTTCACACACAATGGTAGAAATGACCATTTTCTACCACCATTACAAAAAGGGACTATACCCCATGCATCCCTCACCTTTCCTTCCATACATCCAGAATCAGTTGCCTTAGAACCTGAGATGTCCACATAACACATCTAGCAGGGAGTGCAATCATCATTATATTTCTACTGCATGGTACAGAAGTTCCAGCTATGATGTTAGTAGTCAACAGGCAAAGGGGCTATGCAAAAGAAGGTTGATTAGGAAGAAGCATGCAGGAACATATTTTGTCTGGGGTAGAGATCAAGTATTCATTTTGACACAGCTGTCAAAATTTACCTTGTTTTGACAAAATTCCAAATAATTACCTTCTGTCCATCTCATTACATACAAATTATATTTCAATTTTTAAAAGTTATGATTACCTATTTGAGGTAAAGATGGTCACTTACAGTGACAGAGAAGAAAGCAGGATGCTTACTTCATCCTTCCTCCCATCTTTTCTTGGCGTGTTTTATCTCTCTAGGTCTTAGAGGCAGCCTAGCAGAATTTCTTCTGTTCAGTGAGGGAGAGACAGATGTGAGGATAGAGCAGCCTTCTCTCCAGCATCCTGGCAGGGATGAGAGTAGGGGCACCTGGAGATGGGTCTGTGCCATTCCCACGCCTTTAGGAGCTAGAAGCTCAACCATTTCCTGGTTGTTGGTCATCTCCCTTATATCCCAAACCACAGAGGACTCTATAAAGGTGGCCTTGTAAAAATTCACATTACAGGGAAAGTAAACATCCCAAACCCAGACATCTATGACAATGAGCTCTGGGAAAAGGGCCTCTGCCTGGGATTCTGTAAGGGGAATGTGGCCATCAGGCACAGGGCTTCAGTTCAGCCTGGAAGCCACCAGCCCAGGGGACTCTTTACTAACAGCACAGAGTGCTCTTCACCTGACTTCTGGGCAACAACAACACCTTGAGCTGTCTGGTTGATTCTCATCCTTTCCTAGAAGAGCCCCCTGCTTCGCAATGAATTTGCTAACAAGCTTTGCTGCACAGTGTCTGCAGGGTGGCAATCCTTTCTTATTCTCCCATACATGAGCACTTCTGCACCTACAGGTGATGAGATCAGAAGCTCTGTTTCTGCTTTTGCCATTCTCTGGCCCAAAGCTTTAAAAACAAATGGACCAATAATATCACAGAAGACTTTTTTCAGAGAGAATTTAAGGACATTAATAAGATAATGATGACATCAGTAACAAACACAGTTTTTAAGATAGGGTCTACTGCAAGGGCATGATTTTTTTGTTTTGTTTTTGTTTTTTAAGCATCCAGGGATATGTCATGCAAAAATCCATCCACTTACTGATCCAAACTAGAAGGCTGTGAGGGCAAGGATGGCGTATGAATGAGTCAGTGCTGGTTTCTGATTCTCTCAGTTTGTCTGTTTCATCCCTTTTTCTACTGTTACAACCTTTGACATCACTGCCCTCTGCTCTCTACAATCTGCTCACTGTCATTCATTCTAAAGACACACTGAAGTTTCTAGATCTGATGCTAATAATCATGGGGAGGGGGGAAAGGTACCATTTCTCTCAGAACTATCTCTCACCTAGAAGGTTCCCACAATCCAAAACAGAGAGCATTTTTATTTTCCTCATCTTGGAGGAAAGCCCAGGATTTGGATTAAAAGCTAACAGAAGGCATCACAAGAAGAAGGTCCATGTGCAACTCCACCTGCCCACCCCTCCCCCACCTCAGCATGAATAAAGGTGACCAGAACCTCTAAGAGTTACAACCCAACCAAGTAGAGACTTTATCTTACAAGAAGCTGCCCATCCCTTGTGGGATACTGACTCCTTGGGAACTTTGGTGATTAAAGCAAACCTCCAGGGCCACTTGTTGAGTTATTTCGTGCAGTAGTTTTGGGCAGAACTGGAGGACATGGGGGCAGGCAGGTAGTATCTCCAAGGAAAAGGCAAGACAAGTAGAAGAAACTTAACATAATATATATGTTAATATATATATGGAGAGACAGAGAGAGAAATGGAGTGGGGAGAATGGGAGAAAGAAGGAGAGACAGGCAAAGAAGCAGAGAAAGGGGAAGCGGGGGAGAGAATAAATGAAAAGCAATAGAACATTGTAATGGCCAAGTTCCCAGCTGCGGAGGCCCTGAGTGGGAGTTGGAGGAGACTCCCAGTTTGGGGCCAGTCTATGTTTGCTCCTGACTCTCTGGAGGAGTGGAGACAGAGCCTTTCCCCTGTGTTGTGTTTCATTGACAAATCCCTCAGAAAATAGGGGAGAGCAGACTTTTTTCCTCTTTCCAACCAAGGATGACAGAGAAGTGGATGGTACCTCCTGCCTGCTTGCAAAAATAGTATAATCCACACCAGCCAGCCCCTGCCAGGCTGAGCATTTTCCTAGAAGCATGAAATTGGAGACCTCAGCCCCAAATTACCCCCAGGCTGAGGCTAACCTGTTGCACCTGCCCACCATGAATCCACACCAGAAAAGGAAGCAAAGGGCAGGTTAGGTTCTCACCACAGCAAGAACCCAGGTAATTCTGGGGGGAAACGACATTTTAAAATATCACCGTGTCCCCAAGCTCCCTCCCAGGAGCACAACTTTTAACTCTGCCTCCACTCCTACCTTCCCCCCACCCCCAGGCTAGCTCTGTAACACTTTCCCACCACCTGCAACTGGTTAGGAAAGAGTTAATTAAGGAAGATCCACGACTCATTTCCCCAAACCCTCCCTCTCCCTCTCGTCTACATATAAAAAGGACAGGCTCACACGGAGACTAACACAATTACAAGCCTGCTAGCTCCGACCTCACCTGTCTTATGCAACAGTGCACACACGTACATTTGCTCAGGCTCACTCCCAAGGCCAAGGTCCACATCCCCCCTCTAATTCGGCAGATACAGTTTTGCGCCTTTCTCATTTCTTTTTTCCCCCCTATGCAGAACCCAGCTTTACAGACAGCCAAAAGAGATGTAACCTTACTGCCAACCGCCTTGCAAGAACAGACACAGAACAGAAATGCAGCTAGTCGCTCTCCGTGGTGCTGAAATCTCGCTAGCTAGGAACCCGAGGAGGAGCGCAGTGCTTTGGACTTACCCAGGTTGGGGGGTTGGGGGCTGGGTAGCCGGAGAGCGAAGGAGCTTCCTGGGCAGAGAGAATTCTTGTCTGTTCGGGCTGGAGCCAGCTGATGCGCTCACTTAGAGCGCCCACCTCTCTCCCTCTCTTCCTTTCCTCTTTTTTTTTTTTTTTCTTTTTGAGGGGAAGAGTGAAGGCTTCACAAAAGAAATACAACCCAAGTGGTAGGTCTACCGGTGGAAGGAGAGAAAAGGCAACCAAATAAGATCAAAAAGTCAGATGTCTTTACTCCACTAGTGCTAATTCCTTGGGTCAGGGAGGACCCCGTCTTCTTTCCCAGTCTGAGGCTGCTCCAGCTCTGTCTCTGCGTGTTGAGCCCACAGCCTTAGCACAGTCGGTCGGTTCCTGCCTCTGACGTGAACGAGATGAGGAAGCCTGGGACCGTTCTGCTGTCTTTCGCAAGCTCTCTCTTTTCCCCTCTTACTGAAATTTCAGCAGCATATTTTTAAGCTGCTTTTTCCAGCCTTCTCCAAGTAGCCCCCTAGTGGACAGAATAGCAACGTGTCTTTGGTCCTCTTGAGCAATCAGGCACCCACAAACAAACTCTTGGAAGCTTTTCTACACGGTCAAACAGCCAGGGTACTGATGAAGGCAGAGACTTCCCTCTGATGAGCTCGGTCAGGAAAACAGAGGGAAAATGCGGACTTTTTGTGGATCCTTTGCCTGTGGCTGCAGTAGTAAAGCACAATGTGGGATGATGCGGGTGCCTTTGGGAACAAAATGTTTTGGAACAGTTTTAGTTGTGAGTATCTCAAGTGGTTTAAAGGCCTCGATGAATTCTCTAGAAACTCAGTTGACAGCCGAGTAAGGACTGGGAATACCCAGCACAACAGAATGGAGGGAGTGCCTATCGAAGGAGGAGGTTATGTAGAAAAGGAGGCATCAACTCACATACCACTCAACCACTGTTTGGAAAGTTAGCAAGGAAATAGGCAGGAAGACTTAATCTGAAATTATGTCAGGCATGGAGACAAGAGTGACCTTGTTACTATACCTGGAGAACCTCCCAGGAAAGGGGCTAAGGAGGTCTGTGTTCACAGACTCTAAGAGCCAGCGCATCTCACTTTTAACTGCTCAGTCACTCAGCCACCTGGAAAGCGCTTTGGTGCTTATGCCTGCAAAGTCAGTCTTAGTGTTCGACTGCCACTTGAGCACTATGTATTTTGCTTCTCTGTGGCTCAATTCTGCTGTTTGTAAAATGTGGATAATGCTGCCCCCTCCCTACTGAACAGGAATGCTGAAGGATCAGAGTAATACAGAAGTATGGAACCTCTCAGCTGGCAGGAAATTTAAATTCAATCTTATCCAAACACTCTTCTTATATTTTATTTACCTTCAACAAATAATAATAGCTAACATTTATAGAGCATTTCTACTAGGTGCTAAGCATCGCTGTTAATTCTTACAGGTATTATCTCATTTAACTCATACATTAATCCTATAATGCAAATGCTCTGGTTGCATCTTTTAAACTGGGAACTGGGGCACAAAAGAATGAAATTACTTGCCCTAGATAACAAAGTTAGTACAAATCAGGAGGTTGGACCATTGGCCATCAACCCTGGAGCTTCCTCTAACTCTTATGTCACTTTAGAAGTGACAATGTTCAAAGTAAATATAATACCTACAAGTGATCATTGTTGTTATTCTGAATAGCATGCCTAGGTTGTCATTGTAATAATGAATTTGCATGTGGCTGAGCTTTTAAAATAAAGTATTTACAGCTGTATGTGTCAAACAAACCAGGGATTGCTATTGCTTGTGGGAATCCTCTAAGAAAATACATTCTCTTAATTCAGTTAGTATCACAGACACAAAGCCAGTTGTGAATCTCATGAAATTGAAAAGTACTGGGCATTAGTGACAATTGAGAGGGCACATTACTTAATTTCTACACCCAAAGCAGATCACTTTCCAGAGCCTAACACAGCACTAGGATGGAGCCAACAATTTAGTAGGCTGAATTCCTGCAATGCCAGATAATAGGTACTGAGTAAGATTTGCCCATTTTATTTAGAATTTCAGTTATGAATTCCTTATTTAATATGGCTTGCTTCAAAAATGCTAGGATTAAAAGGAATAAGGAAGGGCAAAAATAGGTTTTGATGTTTTGCAAATCATAGTCCCCATTTTTTATGGAGTTTGCAGTTTCTCAAAGTGGAGAGAAAGGGCACAGACCAGGCAGTTCAGAGGCTTGTGCCAAGACATAAACAGAGGCTGTGTAATAAATGAGAACTTAGAAAACTAGTTTGCCTGGAGGGCCACAGGCTTGCCAAGGAGCGCATCATCTAAGCTAGACGGGAAGAATGAGAGGTTATCTCAGGAAGAGCAGGTAAGAAACTGAAGCAGAAGGCATGGCAAACTCAAGAAAGTGAAGAGAGAGTACTGTGGGCCTTCTAAGGTAAGCATTACCCTACCATCTACAAACGAGAAGGTTGGAGCTCACACAAGCTAAATGGCTTGCAGGTCACTAGCATTCTCGCTGCCAAGTCCTCTTCTGTGTTGTTATTCTCCACCCATGCACCTAGATCAAAACACACTTGGCTATCTGGAGCCACAAGATAGTTTGTCATCATGGTTTACCTTTCTAAGAAAAAGCTATATCATAGTCAACATTCCAGAAGGTTCTAGGATCTACCCTTTTGGAACTTAAGGGTAGACACAAGGATATAAATGATACAGAGATGTTGTTTTCATAGGAATGGGGAAAACTAAAATGGGGTTCTACTTTGGAGCATGGTGAACCCAGAGTAGGTAAGGGAAACTCTTAGTTCCAAGGTTAATTAAGGCCACCATCATACCACTGTCGCAGTGAGCTAGAAGAAAGCAATGTGTTATAAGTGAGACAAGGGGACAAGAAAGCTTGGCTTTGCACAAGAAAAAGTTGGAAAAGAAGAGATGAACAGCCTATGTGATCACCACCCAAGACTATCTTATTATGGGAGGACTCTTTGAGAACAAGCTTCCTCTTTCCCAATCCTGTGTCTTTTCCCGATTCTTATGCTTACAAGGCCAAGTAATAAAGGATTATAAATAACTGCCCTTTTCTCCTACGAGGACATAAAGTTCTTGGGGGCCAGGACTATGTTAGACTTCAGGGTGTATTTGAAGTACTGTGGGGTTCTGTGGGTCCAGCATACAGAGAATGTCAGGAAAGAGAGAAAGAGAAAATGAGGGAAATAAAGGTAGGATAGGGTGGTAATTCTTTCTTTTGTCTTTGTTGCTCCACAACCTTTTCCCACAGCAATGGTCAGGATCCTGCATCCCTTTATGCAGTCTTAGAGTGGTTCTCTCCATCCCTCGGAAGAAGAGCCCTGTTACATCTGCACCTTCCAAACTGATTACAGCAAACCAGTCACCCATTTCCACATTCTGCAGGTAGAAGGCCCAGGGTGATATTATATAGGTAAGGGGCTCGATGTCCAGGAAATAGGCACTTCCTCTAAGGCAACCTGTTTTGGATCAGGAGAGACAAGAGTGTGCAATGCTATAATCTCTGAAATCATATGCATAGTCCCAGGCCATAGTCCCTGACCGTGACCACACATGGATAAGTGGTTAATTTGCAATGATGGGGAGCTCATGGCTTCTCAGTATCAACTTCACAGATAATCAGAAGTCATACATTCAGATCATGCTGTAGAAGCTGCACTGGGACTCTCAGAACTGTAACATAGGGGACATTCATTTTGCTCTTGTGGACTCTGACTAAAGAGAAGAATCGAAAGGAAAGCTGCCAACATGAAGAATCATCCAATAATGGAGACTTAAGCATGGCCAAACTCGAGAAGCCACTCGTAGGACACTAGAGATGTTCAAACATTAGAGTCAAGGGCTCACTCTTTCCCTTTCAACTCAGATGACATGAGTTGCATTGCCCTAATGACTCTAAGTTGTATTTAGAAAACCATTTCAGGATGTAGGAGGTAGAGGAAGGAATTCTTTTTGTTTGTTTGGTCTTTTTTTTTTTTTTGAGACAGGGTTTCTCTGTGTAACAGCTTTGGCTGTCCTGGAAATAGTTCTTGTAGACCAGGCTGTACTAGAACTCACAAAGATCCCTCTGTTTTCATCTCCCAAGTGCTAGAATTAAAGATGCGCACCACCACCACCTGGCCTGAGGAAGCAATTTTTGAAGCTTGCCATGAGGACAGTGTGGCTCACCCCCACAAGGAGGCAGAGAAGGCCCTGCATCCTAAGATTATACTTGGGTTCTGGCCCAGCCTGACTCAGCAGGACTTGGTGACCTCATTGTATGATAAGGATAATATCTGAAGAACTCTAAAGGAACAGCTGCTGGCCATGGCGGCAGGAAGGCTGGAGCTACCAGCAGACATTGGCTAGGAGAGGAACTATAAAAAGTAAATGCCTTGAGTGTTTTAAAACACTCAATTGAGAGAACCTAGGAGACTGAGTGTGTGTGTGTGGAGGCTTGACAGAACAAGAAGGCTGTTGGACAGCTCCAAACTCTGCCAACCTGCTGAAAAAGCAGGATATGCCACGGTGTTGAGGCAGTAGATGAAAAAGATTCCTTGCCCCAAATTTTTCACTTAATTAGATGCCACAAAAAGGCAAGCCCCATTGCAATAGAGATTGTGGGCCTATTACTTTGCCTGTGAAGTACATCTTCCCAAGCTCATTCTTTTCCTAGAATCAGAACCTGGCCATTCATAATCTCAAGTATTCTCCTGGACACATGACCTAGACTTGATCACAGATGTTTGCCTTTCCTCCCAATACACTGAAAGGGTTCAAGACTGAGCATGTTCCTCAAGCACAACCAACCAGAATCTTAAAAGTTGAGTAAGTTGTTCTCTAAGAGCTTACCAAACAGGAATTTTGTGAGCCTAGAGTTGACCATAGTCATCTTCCCGATTTTATGAAATGATCCCATCTATAATTACAAATAAGGATGTCATTTCTCAGCAGGATGTAGAGCCAAGGGTGGGAAGAAAGTGCTGGACAATGCTATCTGAGAGGCTAACTCCAGTGTGCTCTGAATCCCAGGAAGGTGAGTAATGTACGCTTCTTTTGCTTAAACTAATTTGTAGTGGTCTTTGTTTCTTTAACTATTTTATCCCTTTTTCTTTCAGCACAACATCCCTCTATGAAGCTCAGACTGTTCACCCAACCATGATCTCCTTCCTTCAGCTTCCCAAGCATTGGGATTATAGGTTTATACCACCACACCCAGTTATAACTTTTCAATCTTGCAAGGTTCCTGGAGGAATTGAGGAATGCTTAGACAGCAACCTCAGAACTATCATTTAAAACATGAATACAGAGTAGCAGTGGGGAATGAGTTAAGTGTTCAAGGCAGAAAGTTAAACATTTTCTTTCTCATTCCACTGGGCACATGTTCTGAGACTCAAAACTTTCACTGGGAAGTATAGAAAACTG